CCCAGCAGTCTTTAAAGGGAAGCCAAGGAACACCACGGTGCCATGATTTAAATAAAAGGCCAATGGGAAAGATGTCCTTATCCCTGGTTGAAAATACTTCAGGAATCTTCCTTGCTTTTAGCAATGATATTATTTCCTCCAAAATAGCATTAAAACCTTAGTAGCTTCACCTCTGCTTTAGAAACTATTCTCTTGGACATGTCTTGCGCTAATGACCAGGTATCACTGAAGACATTAGTTTATTTAGTGTATTCATTTGAAAGCAGCGTTATAAACTCAATCTCATATAAATTAATCTGTGGAGAGCAGAGGTATTTATGGAAAACATTTCCATCTTCATAAATATCCACTGATATGCAAATCTTAGGATTACAATGCAGGGTCTGTAAAGGAATGTTAAACCACAGAGCTCATAGTTTTATTAGATTTCTGTTTTAGAACATTACCTGTAAATATCAGAAATTGACCCTGGACAATTTAAGGGGAGGGAAAAGACAATTGAAGCTCATATAATCGCAGACAGGCAATGAAAATCAGGTTTGAAAATGTGACAGTCGAGGGGAAGTCAGGAAATCAAAACATGGATACTGAGACATGAACCATGCTCGCTGCTGGACACAGGATGGCATTATTAACACAATTACTGCTACTGACAACTGTGTGCTGACTTTAGTAGCTCCGGAGTGGACTCCTCCTGTGGGGGAGCAAATGAAGTTCTAAAGTGATTCTGTTTTGCTGTCAGGAGCAGGGCCATGTCAAGGACCCCAATGCCTCAGAACCATGGAAATGGTAAAACCTTCCCAGGTCAGGTACATGGAGACATTGACACTGCTTGTGGAGACTATAAGCCATAGCTTTCCACCTCGCAGATGACAGCAACCTACGATGTCTAGCCTACAGAGACTTCCTTCTGAGCTAGGCTAGTCCTCCTCCTCCTTAGTGTCTGCCACACACATCCATGTGTTCACTTTCCAGGTTGATGCTTAAACATCTCGACATCAGAGTACATGGCTCGTCTGATCTCAGCTTCTCCATATGTGTCAGTCCTTAAAGCCAGCAGTTTGTGACGTCCCATCTATTAATTGTCCCTTCAAATGCTTAAAAATTTATTAAAGGATTAAAAAATACAAAAGTAGAAAATATTGAATGAGGTACAGAGGACGACAATGTTTTTATTCAGCTAGCTGATGTGATTTAAGTTGTGTTACTCTAGCCCTCCAAAAATTTACATTAAATGTTATAATAATCTAAATTAATTTATCATTGAATATGACTGTTTCATAAAACGCATTTACTGTAGCCTACAGTCTATAGCGGCTGAGTCATGGCATGGTCTCCACATTCACTCGCCATGGTTCACCAAGGCAACTGCCTGGCTGCTCAGCTGTACTCATGGTAAGTGCCTTAGACTGGCGCAATATTGTTTTGCCTGTGTTCGTGTGTGTGTGTGCATGTGTGTGTGTATGTGTGTGTGTGTGTGTGTAGGTCTGAGAACACAGAGTTGACTTAGAGTGTCTTCCTCAGTTGCTCTCTATTTTATTTATTGAGGCAGAGTCTTACAATTGAACCCTGAGATTGAGGACTAGTCTAGCTAGCCACTTCATTCTTGGGAATCCCTCTCTCTGCCTCTGGAATTTCAGGTGGCTGTCGTGCTTGATTATCATACACATGGGAACTGGGGATCCGAACTCAGTCCTTACACCTACAAGGCAACTGCTTTATCTACTGAGCCATCTCCCTGCACACAACTTTTAGACAAATCCCCTATACACGCTTTCTGTGTGCTTCTCTATGCGTAGCTATCTTCAGCTACATAAACAATTAACGTGGTGTTAAGATATCAAGGTTACAATAGTCACATGGTGTACAAATAGAAGCTAAGGCCACACCACAGATCACAGGCTGTGGCAAGCTGCACAATCATGGTTTATATAAGTACAGTCTATAATGTTTCATAGCGATGGAATCCCAAACACTGCTCTCCTCAGAATCCTGTCACTAACCAACATAGGAGTACATACATTCATTTTTGGTGTGTGGGTCATTCATCCTGAAACATTGCTAAATTTATTTTTTAGTGAGTTCTGGACTTTCTACGTAGATAAATGTGTTATATGCAAATAAAGACAGTTTTATGTCTTCCATAATAATTGGAAGAACTTTTGTTTCTTGTTACTACTCTTGCTGGAACCTTACTGTATTTAGCGCTAAATCTCCAGTATGATACTGAATGTGTTTTCTCTTTATAAGGAGAAAAACTAAAATCTGTTATTATTTAAGATCTTAGAAGGCTGTCTTACAGATTCAGAAGATTTTATTATAAAGGGTATTGAAAATATTGGCAATTGGATAGTCTAATTAAGTGCATCCCCTTAAATATGTGAGAAAGGGAATACAAATAGAAAGTGCTTAGCACCCAATAGTCAAACTTTGTCACAGTATGAAGAAGCACTGGAAGGTTGAGTCTGAGAAACAAACATGCTTGAGATGCATTTCACTGCTTGTTGTGTTAGCCACACCTTCAATACGTGTACACTTGATTGTTAAGTTCACTGTTCCTGCTGTGTGAGCAGCAGCCACAGTACAGGAGACTTCTGCATCGGTAGAAGAAAACTAAGGTATCTATGGAAACCGGGAGAGAGGAACAGAAGGATAATGCAGGACAACGGGGGTGAATGGTATATGGAGATGCTCCAGGTGGGGAAACACTAGCTGCATTTTCTCCATGACAGCAGTAGACAACTTCCTGTTACTTCTGATGCTCCTAAATACGTCATGAAGGGTACCTTAGAGCTTGTGTGGAAGAAAAAGTAAGGGATATAAGGCAGTGGGCCATTATTTGAAGGTATCATCTACCTGAAAATCCAATAGCACAGTGGAAAATTACTTGAAAAATATTTTATCTGTGTTATGTTATAGTTTTGAAATAAGTAGTTCTCATTTATACAATAAAGTTAACTAGTAAGTAGAACATGAACAAGGACAGACGGCACCTGATAGCAGAATTAATAATCACCGGACTGGCAATTTGAAGCCCAGATTCTACCAAGATGTTCAAAATGCATTGGAATTATTTCTCCGAAATGGGAGTTTTGGAAAGTCTCAGTAATAGAACCTAGGATAGTAATTTACTATCAGAGAAAAGGTAGGAGCCTTTATCACTGGTTTGATCTGTACATATCTTGGGCATGTTTAATTCAACATAAGAGCCCACAGAATCAGCCAAATATGCCATGGCTTACTAGAATATGTTGGCGTTCAACTGGAAAGCTTGTAGGTCTTGTGGATATATGTTGAACTAAGAGTCTAAAACGCTTCTCAGACTCAGAGCCAATTCCTAGACCAGAACCTTCTGAGGGAAATCAGACCCTCCTGGAGGAAAGTTTCCATGGTATGGTAAGAGGTGTATTCTATGACTCATGCCCAAGGCTTGGTCAGAGAGTCATTTGGTCAATTACTATGTGACTGAGTACTGGAGAAAGTGAAACCCCAGCCTTTCCAGGGTAAGGCTGAAGGCACAGTACATCGTTATCTTTTACACTGGGCTATCAGGTGAGAGTCCTCTTGTGTGATGCCTGAGGTACAAAATAATGCCTCATTATACTTCAGCACTGGAGAGACTGAAGTCGATGCTGGGTGAGTAGTCCAGCTAGGTGTTAAGATTCTGTTAGAAGGAAGAGGTGGAAGAAGAGAGAAATAGGAGAAGGAAGGAAAGGAAGAGGAGGAAAAAAAGAGGAAGAGGAATAAAAAAGCCTTTAAGTAGATAGATATTGTTGTCAGATGTCTATAAAATTTTTATTTCAATAAAATACTCAACCCAGATGTCACACCTGTCTAGGCCTTAACCTGATGTTCTGATATATTTCCTCCAAAATAAATAGAAACTGTGTTAAAAAACTCCTTAAAAATATTCATGTCTCTAGATAGATACCTAAGTATGGGTTTATTTCTGAACTGTTTAGATTGGATAAATGATCGTCTCAGTTTCCTTTTGTTTTGAAATACACGAGGTAAGTCACCATAGTGAAGGAAGAGCGCCAGTGTGGGCTTGGGTTTGTGTATGTCACCTTGCCACATTTGAATAAACAACCTGGGTTGATTTATTACTTAAGAAAAGAGAAACAAGTCAATGGATAACCATATCTATTTTTAAGTGGGAATTTAGAAAGCTCAGTTTTACTGGGCGATTAGAAGAAGATAGTTAGCTATTCTAATGTTTCAAGTGAAAATGTAGCCCCAGATGACAAACAGTGGAATTAGGTCTGCAGTGATGAAACTCTCGTGTTTGGAGGCCTGGAGAGATGGCTCAGGAGTTAAGGGTGCTTACAAGACTTCAGTTCCCACCAGCTGATGCAGGCGACTTACGGCCTCCTGTAACTTCAGTTCGAGAGGATCTGATGCCCTCTTCTGAACTCTTTAGGTATCTGCACCCATGATCACACATACACACACACACACACACACACACACACACACACACACACACACAGTAACTCTCTAAAAAAATACATGATTCTAAACATTCTGACAGAATAAGCTAGAAATCCGCATTAAAAACAAGAATGATTTTCTATCATTGTATCACCCTTAAATGAATGCAGGAAATATCCACACAGTTCTTGAAAATACCTAGGGCTGTAAAAGTAAAGGGAAAATTATTCCCGGCAGAACCTACTTGAGGTATCGCCAAGACCAAAATGTTCCAAAGGACATTTGGTGAACACAAACATGGCCTGCTTACGGAGCCACTCGATGTGCTTCCTTATACTTTATTTGCTTTTTAAAACTTTTACATGTACAGAAAATATAAGTTGCTACTATAGAATATCCAAGAGAATATGCCTGCTGGCATACTTGGAAATCAATAGTCCAATTCCAATATAGCTATTAGAAAATGACTGGCTCAATCTGAACTAATATCCTAGTAATGACTCCCCATGGTCCTTAAAAAGACACCGATGAAGAAGAAATAAGGAGCACAATACATGAGCACTACTCACCGGAAGTCCTTGTTTTCCTGGTAGTCCAGGCTTCCCAGGGTATCCTGACATGCCATCAACTCCAGGGTATCCTTGTAAGCCTTTTGGCCCGGGAAAGCCTGGAAGTCCCTTGGTAATTAAAAATCATTTGGATTACAGACACATATTGGGCAGATGACACTTCTTGGTGTAGAAAAAGTTATATATTTCTATACCCTGCCCTAAGATCTAAGGCTATAACTGCATAGAAGAACATTTGTTTAGCATCTAGTAGGCCCTGGCTTTAGTCCAAGAGCCTGAGAAAATGTCTCCTAAACAAAAATAAAAGTGAGTCAGCAATTTATTGTGTAACTTCTCAAGCCTCAGTGGGATTCTCTGTTATTTGTCACTGTGTCAGTCCATCTTTCTCTAGCTGTCAAGAATAGATTTGAGATGGATCTGTGAGCTGGAGGTATCAGCTGGAGATATCAGCAGGAGATATCAGCAGGAGATATCAGCAGGAGATATCAGCTGGAGATATCAGCGGGAGGTATCAGTGTTTTCTGAAAATTCTTGTATCTTTTTTTTTGTTAAGAATAAAGAATATGATGCTTTTTTTTTTTTTACCCCTTTAAGTCAGATAAACATGTGACTAACAGCCAGCCTGAATATCTTGTTTCTACTCTAGAACAATTGGGTTTTATCTGTAGGGCCTTCGGTATGAATGCTCTTTTCCCCATCTTTTGCCACCATGCAGGCAAGAAGAAGCAGGTATGTGCATCTTGCTAGGTGGCGTCCGAAGCAGTGTCTTTCTACCCATCTAGTCAGCACATACCTACCCTGCTAGCGGAGGATACTGGTGCTAAGGCAAAATGAACCTTTATTCTAGAACAATGGACTTGTTCCCACCCACCCGCAAGACTTTCTGCTCTAATTGCCAGAAGAATGAGAAGCAGAGCGCTCCAATTAAAAGCCAGCTCATGTCTTTTTAATTATACTTGAAGACTCTGGCCTTTGTTACCAGTTGCTTGGTTATGTTTCCAAGTTCCCTGTTTACAGTGGTTCACCGAGAGGGAGAAGTAAGAGTCCACAGGGAAGGCTCCATAACACGGGGAAATAGCATCCTTTACTTGCAGAGACTTAGATTTAAACAGCAAGTTTGGTTTAGAGTTAGTGGTCATAGTTTGGTCCCTCTGTGTTCCAGCATGGGTTTGAAGTTTTTTCAAGGCAGTCTGATTTATCCAACATGACATAACTGGCTCCAAACTATTCTGCTTGCTAAAATTGTCAATTCTGTTTAGAAAAACAAGGAAGATAAAAGAGGTCTGTTACTTACAGGAATGCCTGGTTTCCCAGAAGGACCAGGAACTCCCTTTTTCCCTTGAGGACCCTGAAAATGGGAAGCACGGTCATTAATAGATAGAAATAGACTTACTCAAACAACAGCACAGAAGTGCACATAACTAGCTGCCTCTCACTGGGATGGCCGCTTAATTCTCCTAGGAGTTGTTTCTGTGTGGGTCACTTCCTCATGGAAAATGGGAGACATTGAACAGATCACATATGAAATTCCCCTTTTCTCCAAACTCTATGACTTAAAAATTCAAATCACAGTTCTAAAACGGCACTGCTTCAGGCAGGGTCTATGCCTCCTTTTGAAAGTGGCTAAATTCTAAACTCAATAGATTTTTTTATGGAATATCATGTATCGTGGCATCTGTTGTTACATGCTAGGAATTTGAAGGCCAAGTTCCTGGTCACAAGACACTGTGTGGTGATGGATATGAACCAAGAGCCCAAAATGTGCTTCCACAGAAGCACAAAGAATACACTTTCAAATAAAAAAAATGGGTATTTATTTCCCAAGGAACTGTTTGTTTTTCCATGTGTGAGATGTTTTAAGTCATAATTGATTCAACAGCAACTGGTCTGCCAGGATAGTTAGAGACTCTGTCCTTCCAAATCATTCCATTGTTCTGATGATATGCCCAAATTATTTTCAGATGAAAAACATGGAAAAGAGTAACCTGGTGTATAAATAAGGAAACTAACCGTATTGTCATTGTCAGGCATAGTTCTCAGAAAGCATCTGAAGTTACCCCAGACAGGGCTGGTAAGTTCTTAAGATAATCACGCTAAAGATACAGCAGAATGCACATACACAAATAATCAATCTCAGATGCTACATCTTAGAAGATAGGCTTAAATGTTTGAAGTACAGAGCATGTGCATCACAGATAAAAGGGTATCTTCTGTAAAAGACAGAAAGTCTGTTTAGCTGAGCTTGGTGGTATGCATACCTACCCAGCACAATGGAAGGTACTCATGCAAGAATGGCTCAGAAAGCTTCTTCCAGTCAGGCCACAGTGGGGGCCAGCATAGTAGGATTACGGCAGTTGGGGGCCACTAGGGATAGCATGCATTTTGGTGGATTTGTGTGCAGCATCCCTGAAGACTAATGTCACCTTCACATTATCTTCCTGACCATGAAAAGCCAGAATGCTACTTCAGTCTCAAGAGGAAAAGAGCAAATGGGAAACTGTCTGTCAAATGCATCAGGTTTGAGGGTTTTAGAGGGGTTAGAGGGAGTCAACAAGTTAGGTGCCCATCATTCAGCTCTACCTCCACAGGGGATGGACATTTGGGACAGGTGTTAGGTTCTGCTATAAAGAATACAGACACGGTTCAACTTCCAGCATGTTTTCATGTATGTGTTTCAAACATTCAAATAACAAAATACAAGTAAGAAGGTCTATGCATCATTATATCAGTTACATTTGAAGATGATCCTTATGTTGGGTTTTTTTTTTTTAGGAGTTAAATGCTGTGCCCTGAGAGCACATCTAAAGACTTACCACAACTAGGATGTTCTTTCCACTTGGATGGGCATTAGGAAGCATAATAGCACATGATAGCAACAGGAAGTTCATGCATAATAGCGTAGCCCTGAGGGAACTTTAGGAACGTGAGAGATACTTTAAAAGGTCATTTGGTGGATGCTAGAAGGGTAGTCATGGCAACATCCACCTATTGAGGAATAAGTGTTTAACCAATGCTAAGATTCTTGTTCTCTGTCTTGGATCATTCCTTATTACAGTTATTGTCACTGTAGCTGAAAGAAAGTAGGGGGGCTAGAAAAGCCGTGGTCTCACAATGGAGGTTTCAGTATGTGCAGATTAGTGCACGGAACATCGTTCCTGTGACGGAGTAAGTGTTGTGTGCTCCCCAAATTCACACTGAAATTCTGACAGTCACAATGAGGCGTAGTGGTTAGGCCTCTGGGAGGTACTCAGGTTTTGAGAGAGAAGGCCTTGGAGAGAATCTGTGCTCTTCTGAAAGTGACCCCCAGAGAGCTCTTCAGTCCTCCCAGTGAGGATACAGTGGGGATTCAGCATCCTCTAATATAAAGGTGCTTTCTCACCAGAACCCGACCACGCTGACATCCTGACCTCAGGCTTGGGGTCCAGAAACAAAACTGTGTTTTTTATAAGCTATGCATCCCATGTCACTGAGCTATATGAGCCCGGACAATCCGCTTTTTGTACTGTATTACATTTTGAGATTTTTTTACATTAAAATGTCTTATTTTTCTTTTTCTTTTTCTTTTTTTTTTTTTTTTGGTTTTCCGAGACAGGGTTTCTCTGTGTAGTCCTGGCTGTCCTGGAACTCACTCTGTAGACCAGGCTGGCCTCGAACTCAGAAAACTGCCTGTCTCTGCCTCCCAAGTGCTGGGATTAAAGGTGTGCGCCACCACCGCACAGCACATTAAAATGACTTAAAACTAGCACTGCTAGATAGTTTCATAACTTAACTGAGAGTTAAGCATTGCTAAACACCCATCCCCTTACACAGTCTACTCTGTCCAGTAGGAAATTACATACGGCCTAAGGTGAAGGAAATACACTGCTGTGCAAGTTGCCCCTGGATGATTAACTGGGTTAGACCCATAAGACAGGAAAGAGTCACACTCCAACTACACTCCAAATTCAAATATAATAAAAGTAGACATATTCTGTGATGCCAGACTTAACTTATTCTATTTTATTTGAACATAAAATCCTTTATAAATCCACGATGGAGTATCTGTCCTTACATAGGGAAGGTAAATGATTCTGCAGGGAAATTTTTTTCACAGTACATGGGAATTTGTGATTTCCCCTTTGCTCAGACACATTGAAAAAGTCACTTAGAGGCCCACACGAAACCATTTCAGAAGCCCTCCACGCATGACACTCCACTGGTTCTCTGTGCAGAGAAGGTGAGCTAATGTTTATGATAATGGGCATTTTAAGGTCTTCTATTAATTTAAACCTTGTTTTTTTGTTTGTTTTTGGTTGTGTTATTTTTAAAGAAATCTAAAGCATTATCCAAACTCTTAGTTTGCTCCAACTTCCTTTGAGTGATCAACTTTAGAAAGCAAACACAGTCTCAAGGCTTTATACATGAATTATTCTCCCTCTCTTCTTTTTAACCAATTCACTAAATTCCAGAAGTTCATTGCTGAGAGGAAAAGAAGCCCGAGGCTTGAGTCTGAGTCTTTGCAGCTGCTGGGAACTTTCACTTATATCTGCATCGCAGGAATTATCAGGATGCAGCAGCTTTTGTCTCCATCCTTTTTGTAGAATACCTACTCTCAGATGCACAGTGAAAAAACTTGGTGGTTAGTCAGAATTAACTCTATTTTAATTTATAACAAGTTTACAATTGATACAAGGTTTCAAAGCTATAGCTTTTGTATAATAATGAGATACAAGATTTCAATGCATAATGAGACCCAGGCAATTAAGTTCCTGTTTTTGGTTCTGTTGCTAATTAGTTCTGTGATCTTAGGTAACACATAATCTCTCTGGGATTTATGTTTCTTCATTTCACAAACAAGATTGCTGTCCAGATGATTTTGAGGGGCCATTTCCAAATGTGAAAAACAAACTGAAAGCTTTTCAAAACAGCAGTTGGACAGGTCTCATCTGGCCACCAAAGGAGTCCTTAGTGAATTATACATAACTGGTGGTTATTCTTGTAGCAATTAATGCTAGTATAAACTCTTAGAGGTCCTAAATTGTGCTTGTGGGCTGCAGGCACCAGCATGCCCCAGAGCAAGAGCAACTGTAGATCACAGAGAAGCCCAGGTGTGGTCAGCACTTTTCAGCTCCAACACATAGGGACAGCTCACCAGTTCACTGGAAAGGCTGTCGTCTGATACAAGAATTTGATTTTCCCTTCTATTAATCCTAACAGAAACTAACAAGAACCAGAAAGTTTCTTCTTCAAGAGATATATGTCCAACGAGAAAAAGGAAACCCGATAAATAGAAAAGTTTTAATTAGAAAATTTTAGGCACTTTAGCATAAAGCCTTGGCAAGCATCCACGTTCTTTGGTGGCACATCGCATTGTTTTATGGGCTTATAGTTCGTTATGCGAGTAGCCTGTAGCATGGTTTTATAGGCTTATAGATTGTGCCACAATTTTTTCCACTTTAGACATTAAAAATGCTAAGTGAGAATGAAAGCCGTTACATTTCCCTGCAATACATTTCCTTCCCCCAGGACAGTCATTAATACTTAACTTTTCATGAATCCTTGTTTACTTACTGTGCATGGGTTTGTGTATGTGCGAGCGCATATGTGTGTGCAGGTTCATGTGTGCTTGTATGAGCACATACATGTGGCAGCTAGAGAATAACCCTGGGTATTGTTCAGGCTCTGTTCACTTAAAAGAAACAGATTTATTTTATTTTAAAATTATGCACATGTGTATTTTATTTTTGAATCATCTGTGTGGAGGTGTGTGCACATAAATTCAGGTGCCCATGGTGGCTAGAAGAGGACCTTTTATCCCATGGAGCTGGTCTTACAGGTGGTTGTGAAATACCCAGTGGAGTGTTGGGAACTGACTTGGGTTCTCTACAAGAATGATTGCTAAGCTATATCTCCAGCCCCTGTCTACACCTCCCCCATTGACCTACAACCTGTTAAGGAGTCCACCTGTCTCTGCTTCTCAGCATATTTTACACATACCTGAGCTTTTAAAATATGGATTCTGGGGAATCTAACTCAGGTTTGTAAGGTCAGTACTTTACTGACTGAGCAATATTCCTAACTCCTAATTCTCTTTCACTAAGGAATCAGATGATGTAACTATATGTATAACCTATATATTTAAAATGGCTTCTATCTGTCTGAATAACTATTGGGCATCTATTTACTCTAGCAAATCCAACCGCGTTTTATTACTTCGCCCTGCCAGTTGGAACACAGAACAGAATAAGGGTGATGCCTCTATAAATTAGGAGAAACAAACTCACCACTATTTTTCTACCAATTCCTATAAAATTTAAAATTAAGTTACATTACATATTCTTAAATATTAAATTTTAGAGCTAGAGGTATAGTTTAATGATAGTTCTTAGTGTGTCCAAGGACCTGGGTTCAATCTCTAACACTAGAAAGAAGATACTTTGAAGTCAGAATGTTTTGAGAAGCAGGACAGCCATGGACTGCCAATGAAAAGCCACTTGCTATATATGTTTGAGGCCAGATCTGTCTGAAAGAAGTTTAAATTTAGTGAACCAGCAGAGCTTCCATTTGTTTGATAGTGAGTAATTTGTTTTAGGAAAAAAAACCAAACCTTCTCATACCAAAGTCTATCATACATAATCAAATGGCCATTTCTACCTTGATTCTATGAGATAGATTCTTTGCTCAGACAAACTTCAATCAGGTTCCCCATCCGGGGACAATCTGTTCACTTCTTTATAGAACTGAAGTACAGCAGAGTTGGCTTGGTTAAAACCTGTGCCTTGTGTGTTCTCCATCTCTGATCCCTCCAGATGTGGGATCCTTTACTGCCCACCCCATGCGATGTCTGATCACCATGGCCTGTCCAAATCAGGACCCCTAGCCTGCTTATCTGGACTACCCTTTATTTAGGACACCGCCCTTGGTGATTTTCCATCCACGGATCCTTATCCTGCTCCTTCCCTATACATTTTTATCTGCTGGTCCTGTATTCAGAATCAAATTTCAGTCCAACTCTAAAACCTCATTGTGGGCATCCCTATACCTACTGTGACCGTTATGAACAGTCTTACTATCCTTCTTTAACAAGTGTTCAACAGTCTTCCTTGTTAACAAGTCCTACGACGGGCTATATTTGACTGGTAGTTTTAAACTCTACAATGTTGATATCTCTGTTTTCAACCTCAATAATAGACCACCTTCAGGGATAGCCTCAGGCAATATTTTACAAGGCCAGGGTAGATAAAGCACAATGCAGATGCTAGTCAAGAGATAGTAATCACTCAATCATGGTTTACTGCAGAGTTTGGCAATCCCTCCTTCAGAGGCTTACAGTGATCCCCTTTCAGGAGAGCAAATGACTATTTGAATTATAAACAACTTCTTGCATGCCTGCTTTCTTAAGCCAAAAACACATTTCACATTGTCTAACAAGTGCCACTTACTTCAGATCCTCTTTCTCCTTTCAGTCCTTGTCCACCCTGGTCACCTGGTTCACCCTTTAATAGGAGCCAAGAGGCAAATATCATGTAAAGCAGACAAGAAATGAACTATGTTAATGTGATTTTCTTTAAATGTTAGAATTACAAAACACTTTCATAACATACTGGGGGTCCTTGTTGTCCAGTGGCACCTCGGAGTCCTGGCACACCCATGTGGCCCTGGGAATAGAAAGGATTATATTAATTCAAGTAAGCTCAGTCATGTGACCAACAGTGTCATCACTTAAAATGGAAGCAGAACATTCTAGAACTTAATTTAAATATAGTCTTCCTTAAAACAGAATAGAAAATAATAGTTGAGGGATATTTTGAGGAATCGAGTATGTTATGCCGGACAACATTTTTAAATGTGAATTCATGTAGATGATTGGATGGTGATTAAGATGGTGACTGATCTTCAAAGGCTATAAATGTGATATTACTTGGAAAAAGAGTCTTTGTGGGTGTCATTACAGTATGGATCTCCAGGGCATCCGAGCCAGCTGCGAAGCTCAGGCTGATGATGGTCAGCCACACTCTGCTACCTCCCTGGCTTGTCGCAGCAGGGAGAACTTTCCACAGTGACCACATAATCACCAGCTGCCTCTATGGACTCTGCAAAGTTGCGGCACAGTTCTCACCAGTGATAGACCACGTCCTCGGGGTTCCACTTCAAACTCTGCTATGTCTTGGTAAACACTGTCAATTTCAGTTTTTGAAACAGCAAAAGTTAAATGTGAGACAGTAAAGGGTTATGTAAAGTCTTGTGAGAGGACATAAGGGCATTGGTGGATTCTGCCTTATGACATTAGTGGTGGAGTGACCTGAGTGGCCACAGGGTTGTGTAAGCAAAGTAGGGACAGGTTCAACCTCAGAGAAACCACATCCCAGATGAAATGGCGAGGACTTCCTAGTAGAGGAAGGAGTGTGGGAAGCAGAGATTTAGGTGACAGAATTGGTAACTTGAGAGGGTTATGGTTACAGGTCTAGTTAGAGAGCTACTGAAATAATCCAGACAAAAAGCATCTTGAGAAGATCAGTTTAATAACGGCAATCATCTGTCTAGCTGCTTGTCCAATCAGCTTGGGTAATCAATGCCTGTCTTTCAGAAGTGACCACAGAGCATCGACCTTGAGGCAGAGATGAACTGGGTGAAGTAATCTACCGGGTCATTATTACAAGTACATTATACATAGGGCTTAGAACTAAACATTATACAAGATAGATCTTAGGCATTACATAATTAGAAAAACAACTAGCAAAAATAGAGCAACAAGAGACAGTAAAATGTGTTGAGTGACATGCAAGCAATCTTATAGGGCTTCAGGGTGAGTCCTGGGATAAGAAAGCTAGAGACAAATTATAAGTGTCAGATAGGGTCTCTGTAAGGGACAATGATGTGAGGCTGGGAGGGGCAGAGGATCTTGTGAGTGAGACTTAAGAGTGGAGCAGCAGAGAAGCTGACATTGTAAACAAGAGTCAAGAGATAGAAGGCAAGCACAGAAGATATCATCAGCAGGAACGTGCGTCCAAAAATAAGTTTGAGTAAGTTCTATATGGGCTAAACATTTCAGGTGATTATGTGTATTTTGTAGCTTGCAAGGATTACCTTATAGCCTTCTTCGCCAGGTTCCCCTCTCTCTCCTTGCTCCCCCATTGGCCCCTAAAGAGATCATACACAGAGACAACCAGTTTCATGGCTGTAATTCTTTAGTACAGATGTTGCAATGAGGGTGCTTTACTCTTTTGCCAAAAATATAAAGATCAAAGTACAGCAGCTTCTTAAAGCCTGCTACATGTAACTGAAAAATGGTTGACTTTCAAGAGATGTCAAAAGAGCTACACAATTAAAAACTTGATGTATAGCTTAATGATTTATACAGTTACCATGTAGTTTCAAATTTTTTATATCTAGGTATCAGAACTAATATAACAAATTACAACACAGATATAATCAGTATGAGGTTTACTGTTAAAACAGAATTATACAAATATAATCTCATAATGATTTTGTTATGAAAAATATTGGAGAAACAATGCCTAGTAAAACCTTGAATTTTATGTATATAATACCATATTATAAATCTTGTAGTTTTCTTAATGTCAAATGAATTGAAATTTATGCAAGAATTAATTTTATTTATTTTACAGGCTTCTTCAACTAACCTAACAAAGTACGATTTACTTTTAAGATATTTCTCATCTAAATTATTTGATATGATAAAATGATCAAATTACAATCTTTAAGACTTACATAGAGTATTAGTTTTCACACAGGAGAATTTATTATAGACTATTGTTAGATAAAACTTGCCTTACTTCTAAATGAATGGTTAGTAGGCATAATGCAAAGACAGAAACTCTGATCCTTATTCTGGGTATCTGGTTTAAATCTCACCCCTATCTCATATCTACTGGGAAATCCCACTGTAATTGTATTTTTAGTCCCCAAATATGTATTACATTTCAATAGACAGAATTTGATTGACATTCTAGAACCTGGGAAACAAAATATTATTATTCTCTACTTGGTATTTTTTTTTTGTGTTTGTTGGACAGTTTTTATATTATTTCTATATTTTTCCCTCAAACTCAGTGATTCTCAACTTTCCTAATGCTGCTACCCTTTAGTACAGTTACTCATTTTGTGATGACTCCCAACTATAAAATTATTTTTGTTGCTACTTTACAACTATAATTTTGCTGGTTTATGAATTGTAATGTAAATATCTGATATGCAGGAGATCTGATATACAACCCCCCTGAAAGAATTATTTGACCCCAAAGAGGACAGACTAGAATATATTTCATAAAGACACTTAAACACTCGTACAGAGAGATTGCCTTTATATGAAGTGTCTTGATTTAACCTGAAACATTCTAGAATTTTCTATATTCTTTCTACAGTAAAATATCAATGGCAACAGTAGCCATAGAGCTAGACCAAAATACTAGGACTATATATTCTGATGTCATGCCTCTGGCATCTTTATTTTGAATGATACTATGTGAAAAAATGGAAAATACAACCATTATGCTTATTTCTGTGAACTTAGTGTTATCCACCCGCTTAAATTTATGTGTATTTCACGTCTTGTTTTAGCCTTAAACATCGTACAATTGGTTATTGAGATATCAAAGCTACACAAGTGGCTATGTCTCAAAAACAATGGTGACAGATTGTTTTTAAAATATTGGATTTGATGGCTAACAGGTCCACAGTCTTAAAAAGCAATTGGCTATAATTACTGGTTATAAAAGCAATTGGCTATAATTACTGGTTATAAAAGCAATTGGCTATAATGACTGGTTATAAAAGCAATTGGCTATAATGACTGGTTATAAAAGCTGGCAAACCATTTGGCAACTGTTGGTAAATTCTGATAAACTTGTATAGATTAGGTGTAGATCTCTGTCAGGCATTCAATGTTGAAAGTTAGAGTCATAATTAATTTTTTAAAACATATATCTTGGCTAAGGAGCTTGACTCCTGTATTTTTTCATATTTGAGATTTTTACGTTATATAGATGGTATAGAGATAAATATTGATTTACTATAAAACCTAGCTATAAGACTAACCAAATAGAATTCTGAAAAGACATAACCAGCATCAAAAGCTTCTGACTGAATTTCATCTTAGGAAACAAAATAATTTTAGAAAAGACATACTGGTTCACCTCGAGGGCCAGGAGGTCCCAGGACTGTGCTGTCTTCTCCTGGGTAGCCCTAAAAGAAATATAGAAATTTATTAACACAACTCAGTTAAGAAAGTACATTTAAAATACTCTGTTACTTTCTTTTTTTTTAATTGGATATTTTATTTATTTACATTTCAGATACCATCCCCTTTTCCCATTTTCCCTCCCTAGAAACCCCCTATCCCATCTTCCCTCCTCCATTTTGCTTTTATACCATTTTAATTACATGGAAGTATTAAAGTCAGTTCTAGGTTGAGGAACTAGCAATACAATAGATGCAAATAGTCAAGGAACAAGCAAGATAGTAAACACAAATAGTCAAAGAACAAGCAAGTCAATAAACAAAATTCTGTGAACACTTCCGAGATCACTGTTTCTAAGAGCTTATCAGAATGATCAAAATATCTGAGCCTACTTCCCTGACCTAGCCCAAAGTCATTTTCATGTCTGAAGCCTACTTCCTTGTTCTAGCCTAAGATTTAGATTCCTGCCTGAAATTACTTCTTTGTTCTAGCCTAAGATTTAGATTCCTGCTTGAAATTACTTCTTTGTTCTAGCCTAATGTCAGATTCCTGCCAAGCAGCCCATTTCCTTGTCCTTGGCCAATGTCAGATTCTTGCCAAGCAGCCCCAAAGGTTCTCCACATCTCCTCCTTTTTTATTTCATAAACAGGACTGAGACTGTCTTAGGTCATTCTGCCAAGAATGCCTTCCTTACCTATTGTGGAATATGCATTAACAAAAACAACACTTCTGTTTTAGGTTGGCAAGGCTCTGTGTAGAATCATACCTGTTCTTGGCTTACTAGCCTGTTAATTTAATAACTTTGTCTGGGGGTCCATTTTCAGGTTCAAGCCATGTACTTTGGTTGCCAACATGTTGATGTTGTTAAAGACAAGCTTTAACACAATGGGCAAGAATAAAACTATTCCCAGGACAAAAAGGGCTAGCATGATCAAGCTATGTATGCCAGTCTTGAAGCTTGACCAAAATAGAAATACTGACCTCAGGGCATGGGTAATTTTAGCAGCAGTATCTGCTGCACCAGCACTCAGCAGAGCAACACTCTTTAAATTCATAATTTCACTATGCAAAGTTAAAACATCCAGAGAGGTGTTAGAATTATACCAAATACACTGCAAGTGTCTTTAAACTTTTTCATAATTATAATGACTACCACTGTAAATTTTAGAACTAACATGAATCCAATAGTATTTGGCATGACACTAGAGATGGCTCCTGTTACTTTCTAATGTGTTTTTGACTGTATTTAAATGAAAACTTTGTAGCTAAGAATTAAGTGTATCATATTTTATATATGGTTCTATTATGTACATAATCTTTTATTGAACACATTAATCTGTTTTAACTGCACAAAATTAATCATAAATTTTCTCAACATGTATGCTTTCAATTAAATTACAAACCGAGTCATGCTGTAGTTATTATTAACTCCATAGAAAATTTAAATCTGAGTTAATATTTGTAGGCTTATGGCAATTTTATGCAGCACAACATAGCCTCTTTCAATAGATAATTTTGCTTTTATGAAGCTGTGCATCACGAAGTACCTTTACATATACTGTTTCACCTTAATCTTCAATTAATCCATGGAAGATATTTAATACATTTAATATATTTTTACTATATTTGAGTTTTAGTTCCTTGGTATTCATATCCTCCTAGAATTTGCAAATTTTCCAACTTGAAAAGTAGCTCTTCTACCTCTTGCAATATTTTCATGCATTCATTTAGAAAGAAATCATAGGTTAATACATAACATTGGAAGTAAAAGGCGAACTCACACACACACACACACACACACACACACACACACACACACCGCTACCTTTTCTCCTTTAGGTCCTGGCAATCCAGAGGGTCCTGGCTGACCTTGTTGGCCCTATAAGAATAGCAACAAGTAAAGAGAGAGTCCCCAGACTAAGCAGACATGAGCTAACTGTTGCTACCAACTCCATGCTGTTACTCAGTGCAGTTTTCTGAGAAGAAATGCAAGACACAATTTACAGAAGGTTGAGAACTAAAATACCGCAGTGCTTTATCAAGGAAAAGAAATATTTTAAAATAAGAGTTTATTTTACTTCATTTTCTTAAGTTTTTTAGGACTTTACTTTTGGTGATGGATATATAGGAAACTCCACCATGGCCATTCTAATTGTACACACATTTATTGAGACTTTGGGTCTAATTTCATTGCATATTTTTTCATTCACATGTTCTTTATAATAAAATTTTAATAAAGGAAAAGTGAACGTTAATTTGCACATTTGGGATATAATATGAACTAAAAACACTTTCTTGTCTGTGAATAAATATATTTATTTAAAATCAGAAATGTTTACTCTGTATCCTGAGATTCCTGGTTCGCCTTCAGGTCCCATCAATCCTAATGGACCCTAAAAATCAAAATAAATATGAGAGAGAAAATAGACAGTTGTGTGAATCATTAAACATCTATGACTATTATTGAAACTTTTGCCTTTAGATTTTCATGGTTTGAAATTCTACCCAGTAAATCCAGAAAACAGAAAAAATGTCATTTTGATTTTTAGGGCTCTTGATAATGCAGATTTTGTCTTTCAATGCTCGTGGTCACTGAATATCAGAGAGTGTAGCCTGACAGTGTTTGATATTGTGACTTTGGGATTCATGACAGCTCTGTCCTCATAGGGATTCATGACAGAACAGCTCTGTCCTCATAGGTGATTCCAGACGCTTCCTGGAGTATGGCTTTAATTCAGGCCAAAGTTGATAGAATAGAAATACTGGAAATGAGTGTGTCATGATCACAATAAGATTATTGTTATCAGTATTTTACAGATGACCAAGTCATATTAATTAAAGACCGATCAGTGAACACTTACTGATTCAGTCAGACAGTTGAAAAACAGCTAGTGTAATAACAATAAAAATGCCTTATTTTTCATATTATTGAAGAATTTGGACAGCAGTTTCTCCCGTTTGGGTCTTAAGACAAAAAGGAGGTAAGAAAATAAAGGCACAGAATAGGTATGCAATTTGCCATGTATTATACTAAGCAGGTATGAGAATCTGTATATAGAGTTACATCTGATCAAGCAGCCTCAATATATTTCATGTAGAATGTACATTTGCTATATTTCTTTTTTTAATATATGAAATTTTACTTTTTTTGCTATAGTTCTTAAAAAGTTCATGTTATAATTATTAAGCGTAAATTAGAAATTTTGAAAGATTTGGATAAGAACATGTTTCAGCTTAAGAAAGAACTATGAAAAGCCTATTTAAATAAGACTTCATACATGATGTATCATAAAGCTTTTTATACATAATTTCTGTACCAAAATTTTGTGACTCGAGCCAAAAATTATGTCTGAACATATACAAAGAAGAAAATTATTTCTGATGTGCAAACAGTTTCAGACTCTAAAATACAGAGATTGAAAGAGCAGGGTGGGGCCCGCTTGACTAATTTGGGAAAGGAGCCGGAAGCTTTTCCTGTTTCCTTGTTTGTTCTGGGTACTGAACGGCAATGGCATTTCCTCAGAGGTTATATGAGGCAGCCTTGTAACTGCATCCAGAACGGCAGGCAGGACTTACGGCTGCTGCTGTACCTGGGAGCTGCTGCACAAGACATACAAACAGTGTGAAACATACAGTGAAGGGTAATGAAAATAGGGAACACAAACAGGCAAGGAGAAATCGGCAAGGGAACACGGAATAAATCAAGGAAAAGCATGAGAGAGAAACAAACGGTGTGGGAGAACTCGGTGTCTACATGTAGAAGAACGGAAGTAAATTCCACATCTTTCTGCTGTTCACAAATAAACTCAAAATGGATCATAGACTGGGATGTGTCATAACTGAAACTCTGACCCAAGCAAATGTAGTAGAATTTAGTAAAACTTGAGATCTCTTAGTCGAAACTGCCAAAGAAAGAAGGAAGTTTCTCTGAAGGACGAAAGTGTATTTTGAAAATAACTCTTGACCCTGAGACCTCAGGAGTGTTCTCAGGAAGGACAGGTCACGTGACCCCCCAGTCCTTACCACTCTCTGAATTCCCGACAATGGAATAAGTCAGATGAGTAAGCAGTGAAGACGGTATCTCTCTTCATCTGAACTTTATTCATTGTATGTGAGCTCAAATTACAAAGGTAAATAGATTTCCTACACAGCACTGATGAAATAATATGATGGAAAAATATGATAAAAGATTAGATTAATCTGAATAAAACTTATTGAAAACCAGAATACACCTCATACAAAAGATGTTAGAACAGAGAAAAGATGAAATAGCCCTAAGGTATGAGTAAGTTGAAAGATGTCTTGTGTCTCTTTGTAGAGAGGTCAGATACTAGGAGAAACCGAAGGACTGAATCTTAAGTTCACACCTAAGATAAGCATAAGAGCCAGGCTGCTCTGAGAAAGGAACATGGTGGGGTCTGTGCTAGCAGACTCCAGAGGATGAGATGTCATAGACATAGCTGTGGACTAGAAACAGACTGATGGAGGGGACCACTGAATATAAGTTTAGTTACAGTCTTACACAAAACTGGAAGAAAATACACTGAGTGTTCAATAACAGAGTTAAGAAATCATTCAGTGGAGAGAAAGACAAACATCTCTCTCCCATAACTCAGAAAATAAGAAAAAAAACCCTCTACATATCTTAAATAATTAAGATCAATGTTATACATGTGTTTGGATGAGACTAGGAATAGAATTTCCAATGAATAAATAAAATCTAGAAAATGTAAAGGAAAATATCAAAAACTTTGACTATTAAAATGTTCTGCTTAGCAAAAGACACAAAATTAACAGATAATTGACAGAAAAGGAGTCGTTTGTAATTTATTCTGTAACGTGTCTGACAAATTATATCCACACTTCATACTTATGGGTAATGGTTGCAAATCAGCAAGAAAAAATAGCCGCCACATGTAGTAGGTATGTGTGTATATGTGTATATACATATACACACACATATATTTATTAACAGGAAACTTTCAGAAGAAAAACATATATGAAACAGTTATAACAGGGAAAATTTAAATATGATGGCAACAATTACATATATATTTTTCTTTATCAGATTATCAAACACTAAATGAATTAATATGAAGTGTGAACAGTGCAGTCGTAGCTTCAGAAAATGGACCGAGAAGGCCGTGAGTGTGATTTGTGCATCTGTAGACAGATATAGCAGTAACAATCAAGGAAAAGAACACATACATTTGAGAGGGAGGGGGGCATGAGAGACGCTAGAGGGAGGAGACACAGGAAGGAAAGAGAAGAGAGGAGAGGAAGTGGTGTAACTACATTTTAATTAAAAATATATATTTAAAAGTTTTTAAAGGTGAATACTTTGACAGAAAAAGCTCCAAAGTTACATTAAGGGCAATATTTTGGGTTGCATTAATTCTGATGTTTATTAAATATTAACCACATTATTTAATGTATTTAAAACAAGCAAAACCAGAGAAATATTGACATAAAACGACTCAAGGTCTGGGTGTTAAGGTGTCAGTAAATAATGGCAAATTTTCTTGAGAAAGTAAAGAGACCTGGGCTTTTAAAGGCCTTGGTGACAGGTCTGGCGTTGGCTATTTAAAGGGGATGAGATTAATGCACCCACATGTTATAAATAAGTTCATGAATAGAAGATTATCTTTCAAATGTCTTCCTTTCACGATATGAACGGTCCATCGCAAACCATCAATACATATCTGCTGTCACAGTCTCAGAAGTATCGCACGCCAGCTTTCTATGTCAGGCAAAATTCATGCAAAAGACGAGCTATAAATAGATGCTGGAGAGATTTGTCCCAACTGTTTAGAAAGATAATCTCGCATTCAAGCAGGGCAGGTCCAAGAGGTGGATGGAAACACATTTCAAGTTCACTTAATTTTCAAAGCAATTTGCCAACACGACCACAACAGCTTCAGACAGATATTAAATCCTGATTTGAGGTGCTCAGTGTATAAACTTTCCTACTTAACTTTGGAGTTAAAATCAGATTTTTAAAACTTCATTTCATATTTTGTTTCCATTTTCAATTTTCTCTTCTCTTCTTCATGTCTAAAACCCACTAAGCCGTTTAAGACTGTGGAATGCTTGCAATGCCCGCCATCCCACAGAGATGAATTATGTTGAGTGGAACCTTTGTGTCCTCTGTAAAGTCAATCAAGATGTCTCTGAGAGCATGTACAGTTCTTTTCCATCCCCACTGAGTCAGTGCTGAAAAGAAATCAAATACTGACCACAGCACCTCGGGTTCCTCTGGTGCCCTTAGGGCCGTTTTCCCCAATGCTTCCAGGAGAGCCTCTGCTTCCAGCTTCTCCCATGGGTCCTATTTGTCCTTTATCGCCCTGTGGATGACATTAGCGTGACTGAAATTAAATGTCTTAACTCATTTAACTATACCATATGCTCGAATGACTCAGAGGACATGTGGCAAGCAGGATGCTTTGAATTACTCTTATCGCTACTCCCTGTCTTGTTTTGTGAGGCAGGGTATCACTGTGTACCTCTGAATGGCCTGGAGCTTATTATGTAGACCAGGTTGGCCTTGATTTGTTGGTGATCCTCCTGTTTCTGCTGCCTGACTGCTGGGATTACAGGTGTATGCTATCACACCTGGTCTAAAATTGTGTAAATTGTTAACTTTGCTTCAAGTTACCAATACCACAGATTATCATTAACAAGAAACTACCATCACATGTCATTTAAAAAGTAATAAAGTTTTGAAAAAAGATTACAAAGGCATTTTTTTAAACCAGCCAATCAGGAACTATAGCATGATCTGGAGAAATCCTATGTAGCCAGCTTTCAAACATACTTTGCTACATATATGTGTCTCTTTTGCATGTGTGCATTGTAATACTGAGATAACAGGCCTCAGGAGATTGCCAGTTTTACTTCGGCCTCCCAGAGGTCTGCTGCATGCAGGGAAGAAGTGAGGGTGCAGGTCTGGACTTCACAGACATTGCTCACCTGTTCAGAACAAGAACCCCCAGATTATTTCCTGCATCCCTTCACAGGCCTTGGAAACCTGCATGGTTTCTCTGGCATCTCATGTATAGGCCCTTCTCTGACACCACGGCACGGGTGCTCATAACCACCTTCCTCTTCTCAAAACAAGTACCAGCCCGTGTTACTATTGATGCTCAAGGTGGGAAAAACACAGCAGACCTGTAATCAATTGGTCAGGATACTTGAGACATTCCTGACTGCCCATGGGATTTTTTTTCTCAGTTTCCTAGGGAGTATGGGTTGTTGTAAAGAGCCACACTGCCTCTAATGCTGATTTCACTATGGGTTTCTGGTGCTTCTTGGTGTGTGTGTGTGTGTGTGTGTGTGTGTGTGTGTGTGTGTGTGTGTG